ATTTTAAAAAAATTTAAGGAAGAAAAACAAAAAGAATGTTCTATAATACGCCCCACCTCAGATTTCACTGTCTTAAAGAACACAAGTACACACATAGGTTAGAAAACAAAATTTAACATAATAACACAAAATGAAGCCTATCTCCCTCCACAACTACCTCCAAAGGGAAAAAACTGCAGGTAACCTTAGACATGTAAACATTTGAAGGCATCATATTATATATATTAAGAGCCAACAAATGTTTTTTAGAATGGGTCGGAGACTCTTTGAACTTTGTCCCAACTGACAAGCTCAGAGGTAGCCACAGGCAATAGGTCGGTATATGCAATTGTGAAAAATAATGCATGAAATATTACAGCTCTTGATTCCAATTCCCTGTCATTTAAAAAATTCTTTATTTATTAGGGTGGGGTGTGCCATGGTATGTGTGTGGTCAGAGGACTCTTCGGAGTTGGTTCTTTCCTTCCATCTTTATATGAGGATTGAACTCAAGGGATCATCTTGTGTTGCTGGGCCATCTCACCTGGCCCGACACTTTTTAAATTTTTTGTTTTGTTTTGTTTTTTTCAAGACAGGGTTTCTCTGTGTAGCCCTGGCTGTCCTGGAACTTGCTCTATAGACCTGGCTGGCCTCAAACTTGGAGATCCACCTGCTTCTGTCTCCCAAGTGCTGGGATTAAAGGTGTGTGCCACCACCACCCAGCTAAATATTTTATTTTTAAAGTTTTAATTGTTAGGTAGGGCTAGAGAGATGGCTCAGCAGTTAAGAGCACTGGCTGCTCTTCCAGAGGTCCTAGGTTCAATTATCAGCAACCACATGGTGGCTCACAACCATCTGTAATGAGATCTGGTGCCCTCTTGTGGCATGCATGCAGATAGAGCACTCATATACATAAAATAAATAAACCTTTAAAAAAAAGTTTGAATGTGTGTGTATGTGTGTGTGTGTGTGTGTATGTGAGAGAGAGAGAGAGAGAGAGAGAGAGAGAGAGAGAGAGAGAGAGAGAGAGAGAGAGCGCGAATGGGGATTCACAGAGGTCTGATCTGATCTCTAGAAGCTGGAGTTACAGGTAGGCGTGAGTCACTCAACATGGAAACAAACTCAGGTCCTCTGGAAGAGCAGGATGCACTCTTTTTTTTTTTTTTGGAGCTGAGGACCGAACCCAGGGCTTGCGTAAGCTCTACCACTGAGCTATATCCCCAGCCCCCCCGTCTGCACTCTTAACCACTGAGCCACTATCAGTCCCAAGGATGTGAGGAGAAAGACCACCGACCCAAATCATCATGGCCAAATTAATTAAAGCAAGCAATTAATTAAAGCAAGGTTTTTTATTTGTGTACATGGGCTGCCTCCCCCTAAGGCAGGGTTTGAGAGGTCAGAATTAGATGTGAGGAAGACAAGGTTTTTAGAGCTCAGAGGTAGGGGGTTTTCAATGGAGGATTTGGTGGGCAAAATAGATGGGCTGGGGTTACAGGAACAGATTATCATAACAAGTTAGTCCTAACGACCTCCTGAAACAAAGATATGGTTGCAAGGTGGCCGTAACAACAGGTAGTCATAATAAGGTAGCCACAGCAATCTTCTGAAACAAAGCAGGGTTGCAGGATAACTGGTTATTATCTTTTTGAAACAGAGGCATGATTTCTGTTCCTGGAACAGGCGGTATATAGAACCATTTAAGGTTACAGGTGGGGCATAGCCCATCTGCTCCTCCCATCTTTGGGATGGCCCACACTAGTAGGAAGGGATCACTTCATTGTTCCAATCCACTTGAGAAACCCACTCAGAGGCTGCACTGTGAGTACACCATAGCTCTGTACTGTTGGACTCAGGGTTTGTTTTCAATTGTTTTGAAATCATCAACAATGTTATAATGAGTATTCTTGTACATAGGTGAACTTTTGCAACCGCAAGATTTAATTCATAAAGGCTATGAGCATTTAAAACTTTTCTGTATACTGACAAACTAACTAGAAAAGCAGAATCTACTTCCTAAGACCCTCCTTCCTCATCTTCAGCCCTGGGTGTCCTGATGGACGTGCTAGAAACTTATCTTTCTATCAACCCAAGGACTAGCAACTCCCTCCCTCTGGCTCTCAGACCCGCTGCCACCTGTCCTGAAAGTCACTGTGGTGTCTCTGTCTTCTGTTCCCAGGTCAGGTCAGACTTGCCCACCAGGTGCAAATGCTGAGTTGACAACCTGGATGAAAATGCTGTCCGCAACAGTAACAATTATGGAGTTGCACAACATTCTCCTAGATAGCCTTTGGCCCTGGTCCTGGGGGTCTTGCAATCTGGGCACAACAGTAACAATTATGGAGTTGCAAAACATTCTCCTAGATAGCCTTTGGCCCTAGCCCTTCTGCCTTCATATCTAGAATCTTCTAATACCAGAGCCAAAAAGACCCCCGGGGTAGATGACTGCAAGCCTGCCTTGTGTGCACTGCACGGATAAAATGACTAAGGCTAAGAAAGGAAACAAAACCATAAGTAAATCAGCTCAGAGTCCCGGCAGCAGGACCTCTATGTCTTCCCTTTTCTTTCTTTCTTTTGAGACAGGGTCTTACATAGGCCAGACTGGCCTCAAACTGGTTATGTAGCTAAGGATGATCTTGAACTTCTGATCTTCCTGCCTCTGTGCTAGGATTACTGGCTTGCACTCCACTCTTGATTTTAGGTGGTGCTAGAGACAGTTCCAGGACTCTGTGCATGCTAGGCAAGTAGTCCCCCAGCTGAGCCACATTTCTAGGCTTTATTATTTTTTTCAAGGCAGGGTCTCCTGCAGCTGAGGACAATTCCTGTTCCTCCTGCCTCTACTTCCCAAGTGCTGGGACTACAATGTGTGCTACCAGGTCTGGCTCAGATCCTCTCTCCTCCCACCCCCTGCTCTCTTACTCTTCTGACTAAAAAAAAAGGTGCCTGGCTTTGCTGGTGACATCCCTCAAGTGTTTTGGTAAGACCAGCAGCTGAGTCCACCACTTACCCCTGCTGACTCCATTGCACAGGCCCTCACATCTCTCTGACCTGCTCTGGGGCGATGGCACAGCCTCCAGGCCGGTGGCTCTCCCAGGACACCTGCACATGCTGGCATGCCAGGCGTGGATGCAGAAGGGCCAGCTACCTGCAACCCACCCCCAGATGCTTATGGACTATTCACAAGCTGACTGTCCTCAAGAGAGCCGGGGAAACCCTTCTTCACATGAATGATCAGCCCAGCAAAGAGCTGAGGGTGATTACTCAAGAGACCTAGACTGCACTATAAAGAGGCACTGGGAAGCTCAGTACCCCCAGGGAAGAAACTGGAGAGAGGCCTGCCGGGAAGGGAGGGAAAGGAGGGAAGGGGCCACCCCTGGTTACCAACACCTCACAAAGCCCCACGGGCAAAGCTAGCTTTAGCCTGCTGCCAACCTTCAGGATGAGGACACGGGGACCCTCACATACGAAAAGGAGCTGTATGTAGTTCCAGGGGCTTTTCCTATGTTGGCGTCTCAACAATCTCAATACCTAAAGCCATTTGTGGCCCAAAGGCTGTGACACAGAGCAGAGGAGGGGTGCCAAACAGGAAACACACACTGGTAAGTGCTTCCGTGTGCCAACCTCTGAGCCAAGCTGCTGTCAAACTGTCCTCTGCCCTCCCTCCACACTTGGGGAATGGGCAGGAGGACTCATCCCAACTTTGAAACAAGAAAGGCAGGCTCTTAAGAGTCAAGTGACGGGAGACCTCCACAGTTCAGTGCCCTCTGGCTGCCTCACTTGGGCTCCAACCCCAGCCAGAGAAAGAGCGGGCCAAGGCCTGCTCCAGACATAGCCTGTCCTCTCTCCCAAGGGCCCAGGCTAAAAAAGCCTGGGGTGGGTGGAGCCACCACCCAGCAGGCAGCCCTTTCCTCACACCCCCACACATGCGTGGGCTGGGAGGAAGTGGTGGAGTTCCCATCCCTTGTGCTCTGAGGCTGCCCATCTGTTTCCTGGGATAGGACTCCCTACCCCCATCCTCCGACCCGGAAACTCACTTGCTCTAGGGCTATGGGAAAAGGAACTATTAGAGTCCCTCTCTCCCCAGGGGGTGGTGACAGCCTCAGAACCCCTTTCCAGGCCTCCTGCCCTCCAGGCTCTTGCTAATCAGCTCCTACCAACAGCTCTGGGCTCCTGATGCAGAGAGCAGCCATGAGATTCTCCCTTTTCCTGACTGTGGCATGGTTGGCATCTTCTTCACCTATTTCAGCCTGCGGGGAGGGAGGGACTTGGAGAGAGGAGGCAACATTCTGGGTAGAAGTTAGTAGAAAGTAAAGAAACAAGTCTTTCCAGTCCCCCACTGGAAGGCCCCATAACGGTCATCTATGTGAGAGGAGCGCCCTCTGGGGGACATGCAAGATACAGCCGCTAGGGGGCCCCCACCTCAGGGGTTCTGCTGACACAGGGAAATGAATCTCTCCTTGTCTTGACAATGTCTGCCCCACAGAACCAGCGGTGGGTTCACCAGGCGGTGCCAGTGCAGCCTATGGTCCTATGACCTAGGAGCTGGAAAGGAGAGTAAAACCACCCAGGCTGGGACAGGCAGGGAAGGTGTGTAGACTTGAAAGGTGAAGAGAAGGGCAGTTATAGGCAGGGGCCAACCCAAAGCAGTGGGCGTTAGGTGGGACACAGGAGCAGCAGGAGGCTATATGACCACAGAGATTCTGGGGAAGTGAGACATCTACCTGCTGGAGCTAGCAATATTTCAGTCTTTGAACTTCCGTTCCTGAATCCTAAGATATAAAACTAGTCAAAGTGGAGGTGGCTCTGCCCACAAAAACCTCATTTAATCTAGGTTCTGCTTATCTTGTACACTAGTCTGTCTCCTGTGTGCCCCCCACACCAGCACACATAGACGCCTTCCGACTTCCTGCTTACACACCAGGATTAAGGAAAAGACCAGCCTATTCACTGCAGAAGTGGTTTGGCCCGGGAGCACTGACTCCCTAGGCCAGAAGCCACTCCACTCATCTTGAAAGGATACTCACCCCAGGAATGTCCAAAAGCTTTGACACCAGAAGAGGCAGCTTCAGGGCAGCGACGCTTCCTGTGACACCCACAAGAACATGGAACTTTCTCTCCACTGAGGATATGGCAGCTGGGGATGGGGCCCTCGGTTCCATGTGGGGTCTGGTGGCTTTCTGGGAGCCTGGAAAGCCTGGGTTTAGAATCTAAAATGGAAAAAGGGGTATCATCTTCATTCACAGTCATATGACAAGTGGCCGGTGGTATGCCCTAGACCATCTAGATGCTGGGGCTGCTGTGGGTTTCAACGGTCCCAGTTTCTGAGAGAAGAGAGTGTAACGATCAAGTCAGGCCTCCTCTCCATACAATGCTGTAAGCGCCATACCTGTGCCATGGCTGCCCAGTGACTGTCCCAGAGATTATGTCACATAAAAATGTCAATCAGGCTGAGCACTTTTTCGGACAGGAGGAAATTACTTCAAAAGGAGAATGGCAGGTCTGGGGAACAAGGTGTAAGTTAAGAGAGAAGTTGAAGAGTCATGAGGGGGTTGGGAAGGGCCAGTCAGGCTGCACGACCAGATCTGTACTGGAATGTCAAGGGTGGTGAGAACCTGGTGCTTTGATGTAAGAAAGATGATACTGGAGCTGGCAGTGTGTGGAGGGGCCATGGCGAGTGGTAGAGACTGAGGAGCTACTACAGTGGGCCTGGCTGGCTAGTGAAGAGGACAGAAAGAGAGGATGAGGTCCAAGGATGCTGTGACACAGAACCGTACCATAGGCAAGAAGGGTGCTTCTGCAGCTAAGAGACTTGCCTGGAACTCTGTCCCGTATCTGTGCACCAGGCTGAGCTCCAAACTACAGATGGACTCCTACGAGCCAAACGCAAAGCAGCAGACCACTCCACAGGAACGGCGGGTTGGGTTCCTCTTCCGGCAAGTGCTTGTGGTACAGGTTGATGAATGCATCAAAGCCTCTACTCCACCAGCTGGGCCAGCACACCTCACTCCATCAGCCACAGTCACTGAGGATTGACTCTGGGCAGAGAACTGTGGAGGATACCTGTCTTTAGAGACTCTGGGGATGAGTCTGAGATGGCCCTTTTCTAGAATGAACCTATCTAATGATTTCTCACTCGGTTTATACATCAGTTTCCTTTGCCTCTCCCCTACCAGCCATTTCCCTAAATGAGCAGATTAATCACCAGCCACCACTCCCCTCACTCTCACAGTCCTAAACATCTGATGAATGAATAAATTATGGACAGAGAGCTGTCCCGTGAAGCAGGAGTTTTGGGTCCTGTCCAAGATTGTACTCCTGACCTGGTATATGACCTTGGGTCAAAATCATTCCCTCCCCAAAACTCTTTGTTCATGTGAAAAACACAGGGTTAGGAAGAACTGGTTTCTGAAGCCTCCTCCAGTACAACCTGAGTCAACACAAAAGACAGAGGTAAGTGTCTCTTTCTACAAGACAGAAAACCCTAGAAGATGTACTCCAAAAGATCATGATCGCCATGGAAGGAGAACCTAGTAGCTCCCTCCAAGCCTGGGTACCCAAAGGAGCCTCTGTTTGGCATTTGCCTGTAACATTTAGGCATATACCAAAAGAGCTGAGGGGATGCTCAATTCTCAAAGGAATTAAGCACAGACTGGTTCCCTGGGCATGATTCTCACCCCTAAAGTTCAACTTGCCAACACTTTTTAAAGATTTGTTTTATTTATATATTTATTGTTTATGTGTTTTGTTACTGTTAGGTGTTTTGACTGTATGCATGTCTGTGCATCAGCTGTGTGCAATGCCCACAGAGGCCAGAAGAGGATGTCAGATCACATGGAACTGGAGTTACAGATGGTTATGAGTTGCCAGGTGGGTTTAGGGAATCAAACCCAGGTCCTCTGCCAGAGAAGTATGTGCTCTCTTAATCACCTAGGCTTTTCTCCATCCCACCCCCCACCCCCTGCCGACAGTACTTTGAATCTTTTCTGTAATTGGAGCCTGAACCAGGACCAGGCTTGTTAGAGAACTGAGTCCTCCAAAAAGTCTGGGGAGCACTGTTGACTGCTGACAAAGTCCACGGGGCCTACTGGCCAGCTTCCCAGAGCATATTGCTATCAGGTGAGAGAGACGTTTGGGTTTTTGTCGTGGTTGTTAAATTATTTTATTTTCACTTTTGTGTCTGTATGTGACTATGTGCACTTGAGTGCAGATGCTCTCAGAGGCCAGAGGCATCCAATCACCTTGGGGTTGGAGTTTTGGGCAGTTGTGAGCTGCCAGACATGGATGTGCATGAAGGTGACTGGAATGGAACTTGGGTCATCTACAAGAGCAATACGTGCTCTTAACCACCGAGCCATCTCTCCAGTTCCATGAGAAGCACCGTCTTGATTCTGCAGCAACACTTACCTGTCCGTCCTCAGACCGTTGTGACCCTGCCCTACTTCAAACGGTGCAAGAACAGGAAGAGTCCTGCAAAACAGAAACACAACTTCATCTCTGCAGTCCCTGAGCCCAAGGATCATGTGACAGAAAGCTAGCTGTCCACTAAACTGGAGACAGGACTCGGCCTTGCTCTGTCCAACTGTCCCCACAGCAGGCACTGTGGCCCAAGACGCACTGCTTCATCTGCTAGTCAAGCTCTGCCCAGGTCCAAAGCCATTCTTCTAAGATGGAGGGGGGCGGGGATGGGAGGGTGGTTGAAAAATAGGAACTAGATTATTTAACCAATATTTGGAAGCAGGGTCAAGTATGTTCAACCTGAGAGTCCCAGGGGGAGTGACAGTTGGCAAGAGTTTGCTCTCCAAGATCAAATTGCAAGCCAATTAAGTCTCTTCCTCCACCCAGATCCTATTAAAGACTTTTTAAATTTTTTATTTATTGACAGTCGGGGTGTCTATGGGCAGCATCTCACTTCCCTGGCTCCTGCCACTCACAGGAACTGTGAGCAGCAGAGAAGAGTGGACAAGCAGGCAGCAGGTCACAACTGAAAGTCTGATTCCCGAGCTCAGGGACCAGGGCAGGCAGTCATGTAGGGGACAGCCACAGGCAGATAACTGCACTTTCTCTATCCTTCAGAAAGATGGGAAGATCCTTTGCTTACACAATAAACATAACCTCCAAAACACAGTACAAGAGAGAAACTCTTTTCTACACTTTAAAATGCTTCATATTTGTGTTTCTTCCTAGCTGGTTAATGATGTACCTTCTGATGCTTTGGAGCACAAGTTTTTCAGCACAATCAATTCCTTTGGCTCTGGAGGGCGGTTAGGATAGCTAACCCTCCATCCTAAACACGGAGTTCACTGGTTTGAGAGGATGAGTCAGTACATGTCTGTGTTCCCTGATCTATGTAACATGTTTGTCCAGATATGTCCAGGAACTGAATATCATAATATCTAATTCTCTCCCACCACTACTGACCACCCTCCCAAGAAAAAACTCAAAAGACAAGATTGTTTTATCATATAATTCAAGGTTCCCCTTAAACTTCCAGAGTCAAACTTGAGTTACTCTTGGCTGGCCTTGAACTTAGTGTTAATTCTTCTTTCCACCCCTCATAGGCTGAGGTACAGGGAGACGCCTATATTACCAATGTGCTGGCTACTGCATTTGCTAGACCAGATTTTATTTTAAGTGGCATATGCAGAAAACACATTTTTTTTTTCATATTTTTACTTGACCTGTACTATAACCACAGAACTTACACTTACTCTTATGTATATTCAAGAAAGTGGGGTTTGATGGCACATGCCTTTAATCCCAGCACTTGTGAAGAAGCAGACAGATTTCCATGAGTTCAAGATCAATGTGGTCTACATAGTAAGTTCTGGGCTAGTCAAGGATACAGAGAGACTCTGTCTTCAACAGAGAAAAAAAGGGAAAAGAAAAAGAATTTAAGATAGTGAGAGCGCACGCGCGCGCGCGCGCGCGCGCGCGCGCGCGCGCACACACACACACACCAGAGAAAAAGGCCTGTGTGTGCCATGTAAGTCTCCTTCTCTGCGTTGAATCAAGGTCAAAGTTTAACTAAAGTTTCAGTTTCGTGGCTATCGGCCAGTAACAAAATGGGCAAGAATGTAGCCAGGAAAATGTCACCACCCTACACCAAAATCCATACCACCCAGCACCTAAACCCGTTTCATGGTAGTAGGAAGAATAAGGAATGTTCGTTCAGTCAAAAGGCTTGGCATTCTAATGGACTTCCCTCAAACCAGAAGTAGGCACGTTTGGCTCTAAAGCTCCTGCAAGTTTCATTTCGGAACCTCTTGAGGACACATGCCGGAGGGGAACCCCCAGCTCCCAAGCACCCATCACTTCCTGAAGCTGGGGATCTCTCCTGCCCCTCTTGCTTCTAATATTCCAATGGTTCAGTGACCAGGAAATTTTTTCCAGCCAAAAACTGCCCCCACTCTAATTTTTAAATGCTGCTCAGCACATTTAGGGATTAAGCAGCTAAACACTCCCAGGGTTTTCCTTTCCCTAGTTTATTAATTTAAAGTACAGTTTGAGGCAAGTTGGCTCGGTAAGGTAGCTTGCAGCCAAGTCTGAGGCCCTGAATATGAGTGACGGGACTTACAGGGTGGAACTGAGTCCCGCAAAGTTGTCCTATGACCTCCACCGGACGCCGTGACAGCACCCCCTCCTTCAAAATGAATGTAATTTTAAAAAGATTGCACTTCGGGACGCTCCTAGATCTCTTTGACGGCAGCTTATGCTGCCGGTTTTCAAAGGTAAGCGTCAAGTGTGGGTGGCCTGCTTGCGCCGCCTTTAAACTAGATTCAACAGCTCTGGTCAAGGACAGAGCACACTGGCAGCCGGCACAGGGGCAGCTGCTAACCCCCAGCTCTGAGCTCGAGGCCACGCCCGTAGCCTCACATCACACACATAACACATCGACCCTCACTCGAACCCACAGCTCGAGGAGCTTCTCCCACCGCCACACCACGCGGGACCCAGGGACATAGCGTCCCTGCCCCTTCCACGGCTCACCCGCGCCAGCCGTGCAAGTATCGCGGTACCTAGGCGCCCTTGCCCTCCAAGTCTAAATGGCACGCGAGAAAGCTACGTGAGCGCATGGCCTTCTGGGAGTCGTAGTCTACTTCTCTGCTTTCTGGGAGTTGTAGTCACCGGAGCGCCCAGCGCTTTGTACATCCCTGGCGCTCGCTCCAGCTCCAGGAGCGACGTAATTGTGTGATTCTCCAACTCCCCCGCGCACCTGTTCAGAACTCAGGCACTTAATACTATTTACCACGCCTGTTCTAAGAGCCAGCTCTGCTCTTGAGACAAACAGGAATACAGAAAATTAGAGGATAAGAATAAGGAAGCTGCAGGATCTAAGCCACAACTCTAAGCAGGAAGGGGTGGCGGTGGGGGCGGTGGTTGATTGGCTGGTCTGGAACGCAGAAATCTGCCTGCCCCTGCCTCTGTCTCTTAAATACTGGGATTAAAGGACAGTGCTACTGCAACCAAGGCTACTTGAGAGGTATCTTGAGGAGTGACCAGCACAGAGGATCTAGACAGCACTCCTAGTGGGCACACCTTTGGCAAAGACTCGGCATGCTGGAATAACTGTCGTCACCCTGCAGCAATCATAGGTCTCAAGAACCTGTGTTCATTGAGGCTACTGAATTAGCTTCAGGTGACCCACCATGGGAGCAGAGGAAGGGCCTGTGTTCCAGTCCTACCACTGCGGGGCATCAACCATCAGGACCTCACTCACTGTTACAGACTTCGTCTACTTCTTCTTCTTCTTAACTGGTAGTTATGGCATTTACCTCATGGCCTACTCAAGGCTGCTTTAGGGAAAGGATCACAGAGAAGTATATGGTTTTTGGCACCACAGAACGCCAGGCCACAGATTCCCTCAACCCAACCCTACACCCTGCCTCACATCCCACATCAATGCTTCATAAAGATCCACATGAAGACAAGTAACACAGCAGAACAGACAGGGTCAAATGATCCCTTTTATTATGGTTCATCCAGTTACCACAGATAGACACATTGGCTCAGGCAGGTCAACTGCCAGCTAGGGAATAGTTTGTGTCTCTCAGAAACAAGGGGCAGTGGGCACCAGGAGAATGCAAAAGCAGGTCACTGGCTGGCAACAGACAGGAGGACCCCCAGGACCAACTGGGCCCTCCTCCCACCCCCAAACCAAACCGTCTGTGCCCAGCCCCATTTCTCAGCCTGGTTCCCTCCTCATGAAAGTGCATAGTTGCCTGGAGATGCAGCATTCCAGGGCCTGAGCAGCTGGGCCAGACACTGGTAACAGGCTTTCCCAAGGGCAGCGCCAGGCATGGCCAATAGGTCTGAGCCAGGAAAGAGGAAAGGCAGATAGGGCAGGAAATTGACTGGAGGTAACATCCAAGAGCTTGTGGATGCTAGGCTGGCAGCTAGATCACAGCCCTCCTGGAACTACCAGAGGACTAAGAGAAAGGGAGCCAGAAGTTGGGGGGTCAGGAGGAGGGAAGAAGAGGAAGGGCTTAGCCCTAGGGTCTCCTAGGATACCCAGAGCTATGACAACTGTTCTCCAGAGAGGACACAGTAAGGGAGAGAATTCACTAAGCCTAAGGGGTCATTAGGAAGGGAACTTTCCAGAGACTCTTGGCTTCTCTTACAAGAAGCTCAAGGTGGCCTGAAACCAGGTCTTAGGTCCCAAGGCCAACCAGCAGGGGATGGCTGAGTGTAGTCTGGTTCTCCAGTCTACCCAGCCCAGGTGAGTTTCTGTTGGAAGGAGGTGAGGAACAGGCAGCTGCTCCTTGGTAAGGCCTACCCACCTCAGGCCTCACACACGGTCAGATCCTCGGCCAGGCAATGTCTACCCACTGCTTGGAAGAGACAGTCCCGGGGACTGAGATCAGTTATGAAAGGGAAGCGGGTACTAACAGAACTAAGAAAAGGCCAGGAACCAAGTCCTGTAGTTCTCAAGAGAATGGAAGAGAAGGAGGGAGGGGCAAAACTCACTAAACTAAAAACTAAAGGCAGAGTCCTTCTTCCCTCTCGGCCAACCAGGAATCCTACTCAGGACATTGTGCTTGCAGCTTGAACTGGGCCTGGGAGCATCTCCACAGAATCTGTCCAGTAGCCGAGGGCAAGTGGGACTAGAGAGGCAAGCTACCCTCTCATCGGGCTTCTATTCGACTTCTCTTCTGAGCCCCTCCTTTAGGCCTGGCCCTGTGGGCTCTATCCTTTCTGCCATACTCAAATAGAACAGCTACCCAGGAATCCAATGGTCACTCTGAGATACCTAGAAGCCCTTGTGGGCTGGCACCTCCCCCAGGGGCCAACAGTGAGTTCCATGCCCGCTCTTCTCTCAGTGCCTTGACAGCTAACAAGTCACAACTCGGCTCAGCAGGAAATGCAGAGTAGCTAGAGGAGAAGAGGGAAGCCGGAGAGGGAAAGGCAGCCTGCCTCTGCAGACCAGGCTTTCGGAGCCAAGGAAATAGGCCTGTGTTTCCATGCCCTAGGTGCCAAGTACCAAATGTGCCCTCCATCTCCAAGCTGCGTGCCCCTTTCACATCAGGGCTGGTTCAGCCCCCACGTCAGCTTCCTTGAACCGGGAAGCAGATCAGATTTGGGGATCTGTGCAGTCTTGGAAGCAGACATAATGGGGACACTCAGCCTTGGGGAGACAAAGAAAAGCTACATGGGGAGGGGAGAGATCCTGGGAGAGCCGCCAGGGAAGAGAGCACAGAGTCTAACAGTGAGGCAGAAACAGGGGGGAGGGGTTGAGGGGAGGACTCCAGGGAGCAAGGAGACATCCTCTCCGCCCCACCCTCCCGAACACGTTACCACCATGAATGCTAAATACTGTTGCTTCCCAATGGGACCAAAGCGGGAAACAGCTTCGGCTCCTAACTCTACACAGGGTGCCAGGCTCTCTGCTAGGCCTCCCCCTGCCCCATGAGGAGTCCCTGGGCCAGGGCCAGAGGGGGCAACCTGGTGGATGGGGTGGAGGGGAGCTGGTTTGGTTCTAAACACACATGTAGCACCACAACAAGAGATCTCCACTGCACATTATTTCACAAGGGGACATGGACTCAGCTACCAGTGCACAGGGCCAATCTTTGTGCAGCCCACAGCTCTTGGAGTGCCAAGAGCAGGACCCAAAAGGTGGGGGCAGGGATAGACATATACATATACATATACATATATATATATATATAACTCTGATTCTTTGTACAAAGTTGGGAGGGAGAAAAGGGAAGGGGGAACCCTGCTTGGTCACCACACAGATGATGTGGCATGAGCCCCCTGTCCCACTGGCCCCCAGCCCCGCCTCCTGGTGGGCTTGGCTGGCTCACATCTCATTAGAGTATGTGTAGTTGGGGGTGGCAGAATATTGAGTCTGCGGTTGACTCATGGCACCCTGCGCGGCCCCCATGGCGGCGTTCTGGGCTGCCTGTTGCACATGTGGGTTTTTCCAGGCTCCAGTGGTCCACTCCTCCTGAGCTTTGCTGAAACTGCCCCCGCTGCCCCGGTAGAACTTATGAACCTGTAAGAACAAAAGCATAAGGAAGGGCTAGTCAGAGAGGAAGACAAACAAGGTGGTGCTGCCCGCCTACAGTCCCCGAAGAGGCAGGAGAATCATGATTCAAGAGGTCATCTAAAAAACAAAAACAAAAAAGCCAGGACAGTGGCGCCTGCCTGTGACCCAAGCCCTTGGGAGATGGAGGTGGGAAGATCAGGAGTCCATGGTTATTCAACACATCCTGAGTTTGAAGCCAGCCTAGATGTCATACATCCCTATCTCAAAAATTGATGAATCTTTTAATTAATTAATTAAAGTGGGGCATGGCGGTGTGCACCTTTAATCCCAGCACTCAGGAGGCAGAGGCAGGTGGATCTCTGAGTTCAAGGCCAACCTAGTCTACAGAGAGAGTTCCAGGACAGCCAGGACTACAAAGAAACTCTGTCTCAAAAAGCCAATAATATATATATATATATATATATATATATATATATATATATATATATATATTTTTTTTTTTTTTTTTAATAGGGTAGGAAACAGATGGGATCCTTCTGTGAAAAATAAGCCCTCTGAGTAAGTAAGTCAGAAGACTTCTGGGTCCTCCTTTTTTTAAAAAAGTATGTGCCTGTGTGTGTGTGTGCATGCCTGTGTATGTGTGTGTGCACGCACACACTTGTTCATGTGACTTCAGGTGTCAGAGGACAAACTCCAGTGTCAGTTCTTACCTTCCACCTCATGTGAGATGTGGTTTCTTCTTGTTTTGTGTGCCTCAGGCTAGACGGCCCACAGTGTCTCCTGTCTCCACTTCCCACCTTGCCTGGGAGTGCTAGGATTACCAATGTTCATAGTGCCCGGCTTTGCATGGGCTCCTAGTTTTCACACTCAGATCCTCACACAGGTACAGCAAGTGGTTTTTACCCACTGAGGGATCTCCTCAGAGCGCCACTTGTGTGTGTTTTCACACTCAGATCCTCACACGGGTACAGCAAGTGGTTTTTACCCACTGAGGGATCTCCTCAGAATGCCACTTGTATGTGTCATATGCAAACACAGGAGGGTGCATTTGCATATACCTGTGGAGGTCAGAGGTCAACTTCAGCTAGCTTCTTCCAGTGCTCTCTACCTCATGTTTGGAGAATGCCCTGTGGTGGTATTGTGTTCCCCAAAATATTGTGCACCCTAATAAACTCATCTGGGATCAGAGAACAGAACAGCCACTAGATACAGAGGCCAGAAAATGGTGACACACACATCTTTAATCCTAGCATTCCTAAGGCAGAGATCCATCCGGATCTCTCTGAGTTTAAAGCCACACTGGAAACAGCTAGGCGTGGTGACTCACGCCTTTAATCCCAGGAAGAGAGCCTTTAATCCCAGGGAGTGATGGCAGAAAGCAGAAAGGTATATAAGGCGTGAAAACCAGGAACTAGAGCTGGTTAAGCTTTTAGGCTTTGGAGCAGCACAGTTCAACTGAGATTCATTCTGGATGAGGACTCAGAGGCTTCCA